TGTTCATTATACAGATTTGGCAGAAAAAATCTCCCTTCCTGTTCGTTCCTTATCATCCAAATGCAAACCACATTGTTGACGTTACTCTTATTGCTATATGCTGTCAAATGAATTTCATGGGCCAAAGTTAGGAACATAGAAAAGAAATGTGTCCCTAAAGTTGGGTCCATGATTTACTTGTGAAAACGTTGTTAAACAATTAAAATAAACATAAAATATTCAAACAGTAACTGTGAGTTTTACGTCTAGTGTGTATTATCAGGTAATTCCATTCAATAAATGCCATAATCTTGATGATCGTCAGTGCAACCTTCCCATCTTAACCTTAGAAGTCATGGCGGCTAAAAACTCCGAACAGAGTGATATTCTCAACCAGTTTTATTACTTACGAGAGCTGAAAATGTATTGAAATGTTGTGATATAAATTGATTTGTGTGTGGTACACATTTATCAATCATCAGTGATCAATATTTTCCTTATTTTTTGTGTAATATTCCTTAATTAATTATTTATTTGCGTGATAGGCCGAATGAAAGGACTAGACCCACATTACATACCGTAACCCTACTTTTATAAATTCTAAATGGCATACCAAGAGATTGCTTGGAATATTTCAAGTGTTTTAATACAATGAGGAGAAATTAAAACACATTTTTAAGAATATAAAGATATGTAGAGTGAATTTCAAAATTTCTTCAGGAGGGAATTATATAGGGGTTATTCCAGATTGAACAGAATCATGAGATAAGTGAGGAGAACCCTGAAAGTAAAAGTGATTATGACGACATTTTGAAATGATCCTAAGAAAATTCATGTGAAATTCCCAAAAATTTCAAGATCCAGGATTAACAATTCAGGAACTTTGAGATCCTGGTATTAGCAAACTGTTCAAGATTATGGGGCTAGATTGAAGATTGTAAGTGGTTTCGGACTTATTTATTAAAAATTTATTTATTAACAAAAAATTAGAATATTGTAAAAGTTCCAATCGAATTCCAATTTATCTCCCAGTTTTCCCGATTCTCCCGGTTCACTATATTTCACCTTTTTGACTATTTACAGCTGAGCAAGGGCTCAATGTTTGTTAGTTCTTCCAAGGTCCGTATAAGATACGAAACCTCACTTATTTGACTCATCGGTAACATGAGTTCTGGTGCTTTCTGCTGGAGGTCCTGAGATCCTCCTCTGAATGTCTAGCAAAAATGCTCTGAATGCACACCGAACCTGCCCTAGAAGTCCTTTAGATCTTTACTGATAGTCCTGAGTAGGGTTTGCATGCTAAACTTTTCGCTCAAATTGCTCATTTGTTAATAACATGGATTTTCTTGAAGTAACTGGTAGAAAACCATAGTAGATTTGTAATATTACGAAAAGCTGTTCTCCAATTTGCGTCACCAAAACGAAAAGAATAATAATTGCTGCTCATTTCAGACTTTCAGTGAAATAACTCATTGGTGTGAATTCAAATGTTGTGATTTAACTACTTAACTATCCAGTATGAGCTCTGATCCTACTCTATCAATTGCTTAAAGTAAAACCAAGTTTCATCAACTGAGTGAAAATGTATTAACAAAAGAGCAATTTGTGAAAAAAATGAGCATGTCAACCCTGGCCCAGAAGTACCTGAGCATCTTCAATCGAAGTCTCCCAAAAACTATTTGAGCTTTTCCCAGAACACACTGAACTTAAAAGTTTGCCAAATTTTTCAGAATAACAACAACTGATGTTTGTTTCTGAAGAAGTTTTAACTTTCCTTAGAAGTTTCTTGAAAGTTGCTTAAAGGATTTCTTAAGTATCCATAGAACCCTTAATTTTTTATCTTAAAAAGTCCATAAACAGAATTCTAGAACAGACTCCTCTGAAAATCTAGCAAGCTTTCTGCGATTTTTTTTGTAGGTCAGATGATCGTTAGAAGAAAATCAGAGGTAAATTTCAACTCGAAACGCGGAGAGCTTCTAGAGTAACTAATAGCCGATGCTCACAAGAAATCCCAAGGACCTTGTCTGGATATTCAGAAAATCTCCTCTGGGGACCCTCATTGATAGTTTTTTTTTTTTTTTTTTTTTTTTATTATAGTCACTTTAACACTCTTGGGTCATTCGTGACTTGTCCGGGGGTGAGATTTGAACTCGTGACTTTGGCGTGAGAGGTATGGATGTTAACCACTACGCCGGGGTCGCCCCCTCATTGATAGTTCGGCAAATCACTCTAAAAGTTCGTTCTTTGATATATTTTTTTCAACAAAAATCTCTCATCGATTCTCCAATCTCTTCTGAAAGTTCCTCAAACTACACTGAAAACTAATTTATTTTTATTTTTATTTATGTGAAAATGCCTTCTAAATTTGCCGGGCAATTGTTTCAAGTGGACATTATCTTAACTTATTAATATAAGGACAGGATTCCAGAACAGTTCTGTACACTTTCCAAGAGAAGTTCAGAGGATCACTAGTAGAAGATCATAGGTGACTTCTAGTGAAGAATTCTAGCAGAAAGAGCTAGCCTGAATACTTTCATTTTCATTTTCATTTTGCAGCGTTTGGTGGGGCAATGGGAGCGCAAGTCAATCCAAAGCCGAGGATAAAGGACGGGTAATGGCTGAATAGTCTATGCGGACCACTTGAACGCCATGGGAAAAGGAAGGGATTGAAGAGGCCGGTTATTGGGGGGTTTTGAGGAAATGACACATAGTGATGCTAAATGTAAAGAAACCGAAAATCCATCTCCCACTGATTCATACTTTCACATATATACCAAATTGATATTTTAAAGCAATAATCAAAATAAACAGACAATACATGAAAAGGCTATTTGCCAGTTGCTTTAAAGACTAGTTGCCTCCCTTAGCGGACCCTCCGCATCCTAACTCTTCTGTTAATTCACTTAATGCTACTAGCCTGTCTAAATTTTCTTATTTAAGTTCGTTTGATGATTATGATATCTCTTGTCTAATAAAATAAATTATTGAAATCTCTAATCTACCTACCATTCTTTATTAAGTACCTGCACTTGTGAATGTAATCTAAAATTTAACGTGTTTCAAGTTGTTTCTGACTTTGACCCAGGTGACACCTTCAAGTGACTAAAATGCTTCACTTTGAAGTTAGTTTCCTAGCTGATTTTTAAATTACATAGGGTATATGCTTCAACTACGCTCACACGTTTCCACTATGTCGCACCACAAAAATACGTATGGTTATGTCACAATAGAAGCACGCCACAGTGGAAATCCCGAGCCATAGTTCAAACACTTATCCCAAATCAAAATGAAGCACATATAAGATTAGTTGCAATACCATGTACAAAAATGGTGTTTAACATTGTTCCCTGAGTAATACCTCAATGAAAACAACAACGAAAGCTTGTCACGCAAGTAGAAGGAGCACTTTCTGAAATATTTCAATAGTATAATTCCCTTGCAAACCCAAATAAATCTATCTGCGTAAAAATTAATAAAATAAGAGTGATTTGTGGCAAAACCCGCCAGTATCGCACCCAACGTCAGTGCCTATACGTAAGCGTACTACAACGCGGCTTTCAAATAAAGGAGTAACGAGTGTGATACTATCACTTCAGGCTAGAACATAGGTTCTCTTACGCAATGGTTCATCAGAGGGGGGAAGCTCAGTAATCCTCATCGCATGCTCATGACGCTATTCTGTCACGGCATGAGCCAACGATGCCGGCCATAAACCAACCGTCTCCAACACTCCACTATGAAGCATAAGATTAGGCCAGCCCACCAACGTCCAGGTTAAAAAACTAGCTAAGGGGAGGGGCAAAAAAGACTTGATAATTATCAAAAATTAAATGTCCGGATTAATGCACCGTCCGGTATCCGCATCATTACGGTAGAGGGTGTTAGTAACTCAAAGTAAAGTCTAGGTAGCAAAACGCCATTTTGGCATTTTTCATCACTAGATGGCAACACTTTCGATGATATTGATCGCAATCATCAGCTGTTGAGTTCGGTAAAAATTACCGAGGTCGGTAATCATTTTTAAGTGTGTATGAAACATCTATAAAGCAAGCATTGTTATTTGGGCACTCTCGGATACTACCTTCAACATCGAGCTCACAATGGTAAAAACCAAAGAAAATGTAAGGAAATTCACTGTTTTTTGGTGAAAAAGCAATGTTTTACAAACAGTAAAAAATAGGTTATGTGTAGTGTAGAGAAATAATAATAATATCTACGTACCTACCAAAGTAACATAGCAGGATTTATAGAGGTTTTATAGCATTCTTCAAGCCTGAATCATGCTCTACAGAACCCTCACAAAACCAAAATTGTTACTTGGGTATAAATCTCTTGTCGGGATGCTATATTTGGCCCGAAATGTTGCTATTGATTCAAACCAAATAATCCTGTGAAACCACCTTATAATATGGGACAGGTATGCGTCCACTGGCAATGTGGACTTTTTATAGAACAATTCTTCAAACTTGCCATGAAAGTTCTCTGATAGGTCCCTGGAATCCTTCAAAATGTTCCTTAAGTCAACTGAAATGTGCCAAGAATAACATCAAACATCGTCTAGAAAACCTTCTGAATTGTCTATATGTAGAAGCTATCACTAATTTAATTATAAGTCCTCCTGTAATTAGCCACTTCACTTTTGTTCTAAACTAATAGTTTCATAGTTTATAACGTACCAGTAATGGCAGTTTGATGTTTGATAGGTTGTTCATGTAGCATTAACGTGAAGATTTTTTCGAGTGTGGGCAGAATTAAGCCTATGAAACTACTGAACTTCCTGGACAAGCACAGTTTAGTACAAATACTAAACTACAAATTTATCAATTTGTAAGCTTTCGAAAATAAATAGATTTGTTAACTTCATATCAACTTCATCAAGTTCATACAGAATTCGAGCAAGTTAAGCAAATCAACTGAATAGAGAATAACACCTTAATTTGTAAATAGCAATAAATAGTTGAAGACTTCGCGCCCATAATTCAAATTGAGTTACAAATTATCAAATAAAGCATAATACTCACTCATATCCGACGCTGAACCACCACCTCCTCCTCCTCCTCCTCCACCACCTTTGCCACCGCCGGAGTCCTTCCCCGAACGGGACATATTCTGTAGGTGATTACCGGATGACGAGTTGGATAGATTACTGGCACTAATGGTCACACTCGGCGATGGCTGTTGCGATTTGGACGAGTTCACCGACGGCGACGCCGACGAACCCCTCGTCATCGAGAGCATATCATTTAAGTTCGAATTACCACCGCCGCCACCTCCTCCACCACCACCACCTCCTCCGCCACCTCGGCCACCTCCACTGCCACCGCCGCTGCCGTGTGACGATGAAGACGACTTGGATTTCGATGATCCTGACTGACCTCCGGTGCCGGCACCACCGGTCATTCCACCGGAAGCACCTTGCTGACTTTGTGCTGCGGCTGCTGCCGCCGTAATCGCCATCAGCTCCTTGTGAAGAGTGGCCTGACTATAGAGGGACTGCTTGTAGGCGGCTGCTGCCGCCGCTTGCGACACCGACGGGGAGGATGAATTCTGAAAATGGAACGGAAAGAATTTCGTTAGTAACGATTAAAATCATATCTATTAGAAAAAAAAAAAACATGAATACAGTATCAACTCGATTTTGGCAGCCAGTCTGAGGGGCTTTTTAAGCTTTCAATAATTCCACATAACCATAATTACAAATCTTTCTCAATAATTTTTCTTTAGGTGCAATAAGACCACTGGAAAAGCGCATGGGTTTCGTAAAACTTTAGAAAAGATTTAAAAAAGCGGGCTGACAAAATCGGGCCACTTTTTCAATTTCTACGAACACTTCGACTCTTCAAATCACTGAACCATAAAATACAGCAAAACAGTAGTATAGATTCATTTTGATCCGATTCCATCATTGACTGCTTCCAATTTCCTTTTCGGATCTATCAATACCTTCCTCTCTGGCCGGATATCAACCATCCTGCTGAATCCACCTTCTACGGCAATCGTTTGCCAAAAAATTAAATAATTTTATTGATCTGACACTCTCATTCCGTCCCCCGCATTCACCCGTGCGAGGGTGGCATTTGTACGAGATGAATTGCAATTTCGAGAGGATTCCACCCAACCCATCCCGGGATAGGGAAGCCAGGCACCATTGGAGCGAGAAATGAGATGAAACGAGTGAGAGTGTATTTCGGTGTATTTGGGGACCATTCGGCCGACCTACGAGCGACTGAACCCAATGTAACTGACTGCACCGGCGGAGTAGCACACAGCATCAAATTATAATGAGTAATGCTTTCCCTCTGCCCACCGCTACAATGGCCGACTCTACTGTTTCCTCCTGCTGCTTCTCATCAGTGATTCCCTACGTGTATGCTTTGGGGGAAAAAAAAATCGTCCAAACGGAAGCTGTTTTTCCTTTTCTTTTTTTAAGATGGCGCCCCAAATCAGTTAGCTGGGGTGGGAAATGCTTTTCCGTTACCTAGTGTATCAGGGAAAAGTTGCTGGAATTATGTATTCAGGACATTTAGCAGGGCTTTGGAGTCGGAGTCGAAAAAGAAATACCGACTCCGACTTTAATGAATATGCATTTTGAACTAGATCGTCCCATAAGTTGGTCCATTAGTACCTATCATGACAACTAGCATAAACCGTCTAAACCCAGATTTACTGTTGATTTAGATCTAAAAAACCTTATATTACAGATCATAACTTTATTTTATTCTAACTGCTACGAAACTACGTTCCTATTTCTTATGAATTTGATTGATGTCATTACCATTCAAGTAGCATTTTTTACTAAACTAAGTGTCAATTAATAAGAATTATTTAATAAATTACGATAGAATGTTTCAAATATCAAGATCCAGGGTTTTCACAAAATTACCAGAGATTTTGAATGAAATTTCCTACATTCAGGCTCAACCGTTCATTTAAGACACGTTTCTGCTGAAAATACTTTTCACACAAGGGTTTTAGCATCTGAATCGGATTCAGGGAAACCACATTTAATAAGAACAATTACTAGAAATGCACTGTGAAGCCATTTGAGGGGTTGATCAACTTCACCCCATATCGATATTTTCAAATTTTGGTTTCAAAAATTTCCTAAAAATTAACACAACATCCAATATTATAATAAATCATGCAGGACGATGGAGCCATCGTAGCTACTGATTTAAATACCATTAGTTGTTCAATTTAGTTTATTGTAAAACTTTATTTAGATATTTACGTTAAATAATGATCAATTTGCCCCTGGATTACGGTACTTATGTAAAAATAATTAATTCAATAAACTAAAAACAACTTTGGTGTACTTTTGCATTGACAAGTGGCTTGAATTTTTGTTAAACTTAGGTTCTATGTTTTGTTAAACACGATTTAATAAAACTGAGAGTAAAAGTTTGACATATTTTGTAGTTAGGAAAGTTCCACGAGAATTATCTCAGTTTGACATTTTAAAACGTTCTGTATTTCTTAAACTTCTCCAGAACCAAACTTCCAAGAAGTTTTCTAAAATTCCTAACGATTCGTTGCATTTGTATAAGATCTTCTGAATTAGATTTCTGATTTCAAAGCTTTTCTGAGGTCTTTTCAATTAGTTTATGTTCTCTGAACATCTCCTAAGTACCTGAACTTTTCTGAGGTTCCCTAAATTTATTATCAATCTTAACAAAGGTATCCAAAGATTCTCTTGACATTTTTGAAGTTCTCTAAACTTTCTTGAAGAAACCTAAATTACTTTGAGGTTCATTTGCTTCTCTCTAAACATACCCTAAGCTTCCCTGAAACGTCCTCGAAAAGCCTTTCTGAAGCTGCTAAACGTCTTTGAAATACTCCCAAACATTTCACCCTGAAAAGTTTTCAAGGCTTTGGAATTCGAAGGCATTTCGAAAGATTTTCGAAACAATTCTACCGAGAATACATATGACAATGTAGGATACATTTAAAATGAATTCAAGTGTTGATTCAAAGAAAAGGCTGAGGAGGTCCAGAGTTCCAAGATAATTTTGAGATATAGTCCTAAGAAATTCTGAGGTGAATTCCATGGTATATCTGGGAAAAGAAAGAAATATCTGAATTGATTTCCTAGGTGATTCTGAAGAGACTTGTATTTGAATCGTGGGGAGGATACCAGATGAATGTTATGGAGAAGTCATAGAGATTTATAAACAGACTTTAAAGGGAGTCCTGATGATAATTTCAGGGCTGATAGCGATCCCTGCTGTCAAAAATAGTGATTTTAGTGACCATGTTGAAGAAATAAGTGACCAAATAGTGACTTATAGTTGTGATAATAGTGACTAAAAAGTGAGCTAAGAGAAGAGAAGTAGTCATTATGATGGAACACCAAATAAATGTTTGATGTTTTAGAGATAGTCAATCAGTATCTCATAAACACTTATGTACGATATGAAGCTTTAAAGTGAAAGATTCAATAAAAAGTTTTGGTCTAAACCCACGGTATAAACCACTGTAAAACCCTGGAAAACCGAGAATATTCATGAAATTTTATTTTTCCTTAAAATACCTGGAAGTCTCAGAGAATTTAATAATCTTCTTACTTATCCTTTTGAAGAAAATAATCAATTTTAAAATACGAGCATTTATTTTTTCTCGTTATTTTCATTCACACTTTGAACTTCATAGATCTACAGTGGATTAATCTTCAGTAACAAATAAATTTCAAAAAAGAAACAGATGCTTGAAATGTGTTTTTTTTTTAGGTTTAGAACATGCATATTTCCTAGAACTTTTAAATTTGAACTAGCTCTGGACTTAAAGGCTGTAATACTTCAAGAAATTTTCAAGAATCTGGAGTCAAATAACATGCACAGTTTTAAAGGCTCCTGGAATTTTATTATACTTCCTAAGGACCTTATTGCAAGAGAGTTCTGGGGAAAAATTTTTTTTTCAGAAAAACATCATGCTTTCAAGGTAGTTCTGAGAAATTTTTGATTTCATGTGAAGATTTGAGTATAATTTCCAGAAACCCTGTATTGAATTAAAAACTAATTTTAATGAAAACTTTTAGGAATTTCTGATGAGCACAACTCCTGCGAACTTCAGAGGAAAGTTCCAAGGGCATTCTGAGGATAATTTTGTAAAATTTGTGGGAGAAAAATAATCCGGAGCATAAGCCCTTAGATTTTTTTTTTTTGAAAATACTAAAAGGAGGATTACAATTAAATCTTTCAATGTGAGTGAGATTCAATAGAAAATCTGAAACTAATTCATTTAATGGTCGGAGAATCTTCCAAAGAGTTTCTCATTGTGAAGAATTTCAATGTAATTCCAAGGAAAAAGTTCTCGCATTTTTTTTTTAATTAATGGAACTTCGTTGATGTTCTCTTATCAATTTAGCTAAATTTTCTAAAGTTTTTGAAATCTCACCCTTAACACCCTAACACCCTTAAAATACTCACACATTTCCAGATGTTCATATAATTTTTATCACGTTCCAGACATTCTCTCAGAACTTTGCTGAAGTTCCCGGAAATTTCCTGAGTTTTCGAAACTACTTTAAGGTTTCTACAATTTCCTTGAAATTATTTGAATTGCCCTTTGATTCTCTGATCTGTTCAAAGCTCTCAATTCTATTGAAGATCTCGGTTCTGCTCGGAAATAAATGGAACACATTTAAATTTCCCTGGAATTCTTTAGACTTCTGGGTAGTTCCTGAAACATTTCTGAAGTTTTCATAAATTCTCTAATGGTCTCTGTAATTCCTTGAAATTCTCGGAACATCTTAAGGGTTCTCGATTTTATTTCAGCACATCATGGAACTATCCTGAATTTTTCTAAATTTACTATTTAAGATCTTTAAACTGCTCCAAAACTAATTCTCAAAGAACTCTAAATCTAGCTTTTCTGATGTGCTTAGAACTTCTTTAAAAAATTCACAATACCCGTCAAGTTTTCTATATTTCTTAAGTTCACTTAACACCTGTGAAGTTCTCTGGAATTCTAGGATCTTCATAAAAGTTTCTGAAAATTTTCGGATGCTAAAAGAACCGCTTTAAGCATGTTAAATTTCTGTATGATCCCGCAGACTCCGCAGTCCATAAACAGAGCTTTACTGAAATTCTCAGCATTCTCTTTCATTCCTCAGAACTTGTCTGAAGTTCCTACAATTGTTGTGAAGTTAATGCCTTGAAGGTTGCTTATCTTTCATAAAGTTAATTGCGAACTTGAAATAAATCATTTTTTTCCTTAATTCTGGCACTTTGAAAATTTTCAATATCCAGAAACTTTTACATGGAATACGAAAATTCAAGACATTGAATATTTTTAGATCTTGGACTTACTCAAATTAAGTAAACTTTTAAGCTTTTTAAAGTGAGAAATAAAATAAGTGTTAAACTTCAACATTCAATGGATTTGATTGTAAAACTGTTTCTTTAAAACTGATTGCCATGTCTTTAAAATTTTAGGGGCTATTTTCTGTAGTTTTTGATCTACAAAAAAAGCATATTTTTAAAGCATTAAAAAAATAGCTTTCCTATTATAAGCCTGGAATTTAGTTCTGGAAAAACCTGGAAAACTCAGGTAATTTTATTTAGAAACATGTGCATACACCCTGCAGATAGAGAAAGACGACTAACGTCACAAAACAAAGAATGATCAATCTTGAAATAAATTCACGCTAAAAAAGTTGAAAATAGTGACTGATTACAAGAAAAAGTGACTTTAGTGGCTTGATCTTAAAAAAGGAGACTTTTTAGTGACTGCCTTGAAAAAAGTGACCAAGTCACTAAAAAGTGACTCGCTACCAGCCCTGTAATTTTAACCAAATACTGAAGAAGATTCAGAAAAGAACTTCATGAGAATTCCTAAAAAAAATCTGAAGGATCATATTCTGTGGATAGTTAAAAAAAAATGGAACATAATTTAAATTAAATAAGTTTCAGTCAAATTCAGAAGGAAATTCTGAATATCTAAGGATTTCTGAGGAGCACCTGGGTTAAAAAAAAAGCAAAATTTCAAAGGAATTTAATTATTGAAATATGAAGTTAGAAGTCGATATGAAGTTAAAGAGTTAAACAAAATGGAGCAGAATTTAAATTAAATAAGGAAATTCTGAATTCCCAAAAATTTCCGAGGAGCGTCCGAGTGAAAAAATAAGAAAAATTTCATTTGAATTTTATTATTGAAATATTGAATTGAAGAGGAATTGTAAGAAGGATTAACTCAGTTCTATGCAATTCTAAATAAGATTCCAAGATTACGAGGTGAGTAGCTAGGGAGTTCGTAGGTTTAAGGAGAATTTTATGATAAATCTGAATATTACATATTAAATAATTTTGACATGCCATGTCAAAAGAACAGTTCTAGATAGAGCTGGAATCAGGGCGTAACAGCTTTTGTAAACAAGTACTTCTATCGATGATTTATAGGAATTCAAGGCACGTCCACGCAGACCAACCTAACCATCGGATAGGGGAAGTCTTTCCCTACCCGATGACGATGTTGGTTTGCGTGGGCGAGCCTTGAATTTCTAGAAATCATCAAGAAAAGTCATTGTTTACAAAAGCTGTTAGGCCCTAATTCCAGCTCTATCTAGAGTTTCTCTTCACAATTTTGACAGAACACTAATCAACATAAACCTTCAAATTTATATTGAAAATTTGATTACATTTATGCCATGTTTAGACAACAGAGCTGTGAAGTGTTTTGAGTTCGGGTTTCTTCTAGTAACTTCTAGTCTGAACATGGCATTAGAGTCACCGAAAATTAACCTAATTAATCTAAAACAATTTTCAATTTTTGATTTGAAATTGGATAAATTATTACATTATAACTAATTATTAATTGGAAAAGTAACACATTTCAAGCATGATTCCTCTTCACATGGAATTCATCAAAGAGTCTCTTTGAAGTATTAATAATTCTCCAAAACATTTGCTGCAGCGTCCTTTTCAAATTCAAAACTCGGCCGATGAGAGTACCTCAGATCAAAGTTCTAGTCAAAATTGGAAAAAGTGTGTTTACTCAGTATATGAGTCAAATTTAAATCGATTTTCCTCAAAATTCGGCACGAATATCAGGAAAATCGTTGAATATTTTACCCAGTCTATGAATATACTTGTACGCTTAGAATTTCTATGCAGTTCACTGAAATTGCATTTCCTAATTGTCCTGAAGTTCTGCTCAGAGTTATCTTGGAGTTCTTCTTTGGATTCTTCTGAAAATTCACTTGGAATTCACCTCAAAGTTCTTTAGAAATTCTTATCCTTAGTATTATCATCAGAATTCCATTGAATCTCTTTTCAGAATGCTTGGAAATTGTAATCTCATAATGCGATTCCCTTGGTCTTCTTCTAGGAGAACTTATGTATTATGAGTATTTATGTTTAGAATCCACTTGATTATCCTCAAAACTTCTTTGAAATTTGCGCCAACCTCAAAGTTCAGCGTTCACTCGGCTGTCGACAGAAGCAGATCGTCTGTTTACTCGGCAGCAACCATTGTTTGGTCCTTCTCGTTGTTCTCCATCAGCAGTTCTTTCGGTCGATGCGTCGTCGACTTTGGAAAGCAACCGTTTCGTGATAAGTGTGTGAGTGATGACCACGTTTTGCGTCCATTGCTGCAATAGAAGCGATACTGCCATGCTATGAAACTACTGGAAGTGGATCCCGTTCTGATGGAGGAAGCTTATTGGATAGCGGAAGATAAAGTGTTTATTGTGTTGTACCTTTTGACTATAGTTTTAAGATATTTTGTTTAGTGGCTATAGGCTCTGTAAAGTTAATTCGATTGAGCCTCTTCAAATAAATTAATAAACAAAAAAAAATAGCCTCAAGGTTCATCTCTGAATTTCCACGGAGCCCTCATGAAAACATTCTTGATTTTTTTCAAAGAACCTATGTGGAATATTCCTTAGAATTGAAAATTGAACATGGAATATTCCTCACAATCTTCCTGGAATTTTCCTCAAAACTACCTTAAAATTGCCTAGGAGTACTACACAAATCTCCTTTGTTGCTAATTCTGAAAGACTTTGGAATTATCCCTAGTTTTCTAAATTACATAATCTTCAAAATTTGCCTAAAAATCTGTCAGTTCCGCAATTATTTTTTCCTTTGCCACAGATGATTATTTGTCTGATCCCAGAATTTTTAAAAGTCAATCAATATTAAAGATTTGGTGAATTCGCAGAATCTTTTAAATAAGACTCTAGAAAATGACGGTTTCCTCAATTCTCTTAGCCAGAATGAATTTCAGCGGCATCGCGTAACGCCACTTTTCACCTGTTAACTAACTTTGAACACAAAAATAATTAACCACTATATCAACAATAGCTATTGTTGAAGCAACACAACGTTTGTTAATTCTACAACGGTTTTGTTATTTCAACAAATATTCAATAATATTTCAGATAACTTTTGACCCATAGTAGTGTAATCTGTATTTTTGAGATCAAAATACGTTGTTTTCAAAGGATTTCAGATTCGCTTCAAGGAAATTTCAGGAAGAATTTTTGACAAATTTTAAGTAGAATCTCAACGTGAATTTTGAAGAAATCCATATAAATATGGGAAGCATTTGAAGGGAATCCCGAGAGGATGTTTTGAGAATACAAAGCTTAATTTCAAGGGAATTCCGTGAAAAAAATCAGAGAATTCCTAAATACCTAGTTTTGTTTAGATTTCCAAGACAATTCTGAGATGAATTCTGATGTAATTTTTATAAATATTTCAAAGATTAATTTCCAAAGGGTTGCTTTTACATAGAATTATGGAGACCATTTTAAAGCAATTATCGCGAGTTATTGAGAATACATATTAAGATTATTGAAGAGAAAATTTAAAAAAATTCCTAAGCGGGATTCCTAAAGAGGTGTGTATAGAATAATGTCTACGGTAGAATTATATGTTTATTCCTGAAAGCAACTCTGAAGACACCACCTTGAGGTAATTTTAAGACAACTATTGAGAAGATTCCATATATATCCTATGAAGAAATACATCTTAGGTAAATAATTACATCTAATATGTATCTTGAAATTTTCCAGGTAATTCATAGTTGGAGATGCTAAGAGATGAACTAGCCTCAGGCTAAAAATCTCTATAATAAAGGAAAAAAAAAAAAAAAAAAAAAGTTGGAGATGCTTAACGCCAAGCACATAAATTTCGTATTTTTTTTTATTTGTGGTCTTGAACAATTTCATGCTAACAAAAAATAAGATCCCGGTTTAAGAAAACTGAAAAGTCTGACTCGCACAACATGAGTCGGACCCCATTGTATGTAAGTCTGATTGGTAAACTACCTTAGGACAGAAAGAGTTATGATATGCTGAACTGCCTGAGACTCTGGACTTTTTGTCTATCCGAAACTATGGAAAATTAAGTCGATTGACGATTCTCTGAAAAGTATAAGCATACACATAAAAAGTTCATAAAACAGAAGAAAAAAGTGAACAGAATGCGGTCAAAAACTAAACAAACATTTTGAGATTAAAATCAAATTCCCGATTCTCCCGGTCTCCTCGGTTGAGTAGCAATCAATAATAAAATATTATTAGCCGCGAGTTAATACTATTTGTTTTATTTAAAATTCAATTATCTGCGCGGATTTGTGTAATTTCAAGCATCTTTTAATTTGTTTTCGTTTTGATAGTTGGTGCACAGGTAGATATTGAGATTACAGCGACGCCACGGATGAAATTAAAATATCTTAGTTAAATAAAACAAGTTAAAATTGACGAAAAATATATGTCAATGAATTAGCGCTCTTGAGAGATAACCTCTATAAAAATAGCGATTATTTAAGGAAAAAATATACGCTATTTTTCGAAGAAACAATCTGATAATATATTTATTTTGATATAATTACACTCACTATATGTAGTTTTTAAGATCAATTCAATGCTATAAATTAACTGGCGATAAGATGTGTGCCCTTAATTTTCAACATGACTGGATGCTAGCCCATTAATATTAATATTTCCAATAGAAGTAATTCACTCACCTTATAACCCGCCGAATTCGATCCACCCATTCCACCGGCACCACCGGTACTGCTCGCATTACTACTGCTACTGTTGCTACTTCGGTCCCGCTTTTTTCCTTTGCTGCCGCCGGAACCCTTCCCATTGGCACCGCCACCTCCGCTGTTGCCCGCAGCAGCGGATCCTCCGGCACCTCCAGAACTCATCGCACCCAGACTGCCCAGACCGCCGGGGAATGCCCCGGCCAGATCGGCTGCACCATGCGGAAACTGTAACTGGGACATACCGGATGCCTGCAACCGGGCAAAGTAATCCTGTGCCGCAAGCTGGGCCATGGACCACCAACCTAAAAGAGGGACAGAATAATGGATAATCGGAAGTTAGTACATAGTCGTTTGTTTCAAATAAAATTCGATTGTCGAGTCGAAGCTGGAAGGAAGTAAGACAGAAATCGTCTACATATTGTATCTGTCGGGGATAAGCAGAAATGGTAGTAAAATTCAACGAAATTACATCGAATTCCACCCTCTTTCACCATAACAAATTAGCGATAAACAGTATCAATTCCTAGTAAAATAATTGAGTTTCAATTATCAAATGCGAATTCGTTACTATGAATAACTCAAATAATAAACATTATCTTCATCATGCTACCAATTTGTTTGTATTCAAACAAGCATTCATAACAAAACCCACAAATCATTGTTTACTTTTTGTAACACATTCGCATTCATTCCCACAAAGCGGATATTTTCATCGGCTACCGATGCCGACAATGTTTTTGTGAAGTCGGGAAAAGTGTATCACTACCACACTGCAAATGATATTATTTTGATTCCTACGGACGCATCCACACAAAGCAGACACATCACTGACGAGAGGGAGAGGGCGTAATAATGCTTTGCCGTGAGAACGAGAGCGAATCACAAGATCAGTGCGAGAGTGCAGCACTCACTCTCTCGGAACTCACCGATCCATCCAACTCGGATGTGTTCGTGAGAGAAGGGTAAACAAATAATATTATTATTATGTGTGGGTGCTATCCATGAAGCGCCGGAATGAGAGAGAATGACGGAGGGGAAAAACATGCGTGCCGCCGAAGAGGATCTGTACGCAATTTTTTTCAAAACGTCTGTGTTGGTGTTATGACGATGATGCATTTTTGCATTTAGTTTTGTTAGGTTGTGTGAAAAAGTTGTAAAAATAAACCCCTAATGGGAAGCACAGGCGCGCAGCTGTGTAGTGAGTGAACCGGTTCGATGTACCGACCGCTTGTTTCCGTGTAGTTGTGTAAGTTTAATGTCGAAAATCTAATGAATGAAAACTTCCTGAGTTCCTGCGTGAGTTATCGAGACAGCAGCCAGAACAAGGGCGATATTCATCGTTTCTAGGTGAACATTTAAAACCTTCAGCTGGAAGATACGGCATAGCAATACATACAAAGCTGTTTGTATGTACATGCAAAGAAGCATAAATAAAAAGCAAAGGAACATAAAAGCCGTTCATACATAAACCGGTTTTGGGAGAATGGGAAGCTTGTAAAAATGTACTAAAATTCTGTCAATACATAAAAAACCGTCTACGATCGTTCATGGAAGTACATAAAACAAAATCCTCGACGAGACTGTACGTACACTTCAACCAAAGCTTTACAAAAAGTGTAAACAAACGTACACACTAAAATATACAAAACACATCAAAAACACGTTTCACAATGAATGAAACCGGCTTTTGACGAAGTTGATGGTTTTGTTGTTACTATATACAACGGGCTGTACTACAAATCGACTCGACAGGCCTATGTATTGTACATAATAAAACCGTCCCTCCGCTCTGTGTGCAACTGTAGCACGCGTTAAAACTCGCGACTACTCGAGATATAATGTGTTCGTGTGCTCGATATACATATACATACATATGTACAACATGTACATGCCAACGTTATTTGATCATCAAACCGGCTATATGGCTGGCCGTAGTCGATATTTAAAGTGCTACACGAGATGGTAGGGAATTTTCAGACGACCTTGAACTTGATTTGCCTTATATGCATGACCATTATCATCATCGACATAACCATTCTGAATCTGCTGAATCGCAATTGGGTCCAAGACTGGGGGAAAACAGAAATGATCCCACCCCATCCCTTCCTTCCATTTGATGATGCATCTGACGAGTGATGACGGAACAGAATGCAAACTTGAACTCGTTGACCCCATTTTGTGCGTAATTCTTCGAACGTCTGGGAATTCAAGCGGAAATCCCCACCGGCACACAGCAGCTGCACACTGCATTAATCCGATGATTGGGAGATGATACATTCCACAAATTCTTTGGGGGGTAAAAGTAGTGCCGAAGCTATTTAAAGCAGTGGGTGTTAATTTGACTATTCAGTAAACTTGGAAGTGATGAATTTGACGCTGCATTAAATTATTCACACCTAATCTGTCATAATCCAACAATTGGAGACGGATGCACCGACCTGGGTTGAGGTTAAGGTCACTGACTTATCAGTGAGTGGTTGGAGTTTTTTTGTTGTCTTCTGTTTACTACAACGGAAAGCGCTTATCAGCTCACACGATTGTGGTACACGCGGATCAGGCAGGTCAAAAACGTGAATGAAATCCGGTCTGAGCTAAAAATACTTCTTTCTGGTGAAGTAACGACTGATAAGAAGCAACCCTACAACAAGACTGATTCGGATAAGGAAATTGAATGTTGTGTGATGCGGATTAAGTCGGTGTTAAGGTCATGAGTAGGGACAATCGGAATTCGCGATTTCGCAAAAGCCACCAATTCCGCGAAATATGGATTTGGCTAATTCCATGAAATGTGACGAAAGTAAATCCATAGCTTCCATCGATTTGATATTAGATTAATATTTTTCCATGTCAAATTGACAAAATAACACGTCTGTCCATTGAGGAAGTAGGTAGTACCAAAACATGTGAAAGTCACTTATTTTTTTATCAAATGAAAAGGTACAGTTCTTGGAATTTGCGACAATATTTGATGTTGTACTTTATGTATCAATGAAACATTTTCGCAATCATTTTAAAATTACATTTACTTGCAAATGGTAGAAAGACGTTCAAGAAACAGAATAAAGCAAAATGGAGTCAAAAACAGTCTTATGGTGGTACAAATTCCGTTTTTTTTTTAATATTTAGCTAAAAACAAAAATGTTTAATGATATTTTTTAAATCGTTACCACGCGCAAATTTTTTAATTCATATATGAAAGAATCTTCAGCAACAAAACTACAGGAACCATTTTTAAGGCTGAATAAATGGGTCACATAAAAAAGAAAACATTTATCTCAGAGATAATAAGTTACTTAAAAAAATACTCTAAACTCACACAATTGACTTGGAGTTCAACAAACATAGGATGCAGAGTAACAGCTTATTCAGGCAAAAATATGCTCTTTTATACCTTTTACGTAGTTTCTTCTTTTAATTCTACTACTATTGTATCACTTTTACTTTCACGAATTCACTATTTACTTTCTCTTTTTTGTCACCAGTGGCGTCCCGTAACCTCAATTTTTACCTGTGCACCAACTTTCAAATCCCATATTCATACTCGAATCGGTACACTTAATCATCTAGTTTACTCGACATCTATCCATCGCAAGCAATATTTAGATAATTGTTTATGTTTTGAAAGTTGGTGCTCAGGTAGATTGAGGTTAAGGAAACGCCACTGATTTTCACAAGTGAATAGTGACTTAAAGTCTATGACTACATACTTAAGAAGTTTGCAAGTTTGTAATGATCCATTTTATACGTTGTAGAGCAAGCGATACTTATATATTTTCAAAGCTCTATAATTTACTGAGAAACAGAGACTCAATGGGTTGCTAAAGCAAATTGTAAACAGGACTGGGATTATGAATATAATTATAGGGAACTCTAAAGCAATTCGAAAGGAATTTCTGAGAACATTATACGGGAATTCGAAGCCGCTTGCCTTCAAAGTGAATTATCCCTACGACAAACTTGACTACATGACTACAATCCTGAAACTATGTCAAATGATTATCTCTTCGCTACAAGGAAATATGGATAATAACTCCATGGAAATCTAGAATTTTAAACCGCTCAAAAAAATATTATCTCAATTTAATGGTAGTTTGAAGATAATTTCAAGAGAATTCCCAAGATTTTAGAGATAATTTCGATGAGTTTCCTGAAAAGTTTGGCAAGAAATTTACAGCATATTCCCGAAGAAACTATGAGTAGTGAATCAGAAGAAATTTCCTAGAGAATGCTAAGAGCAGTTTTAAGATAATTCCAATAGATCTTCTTAAGGGCAAGTGAGAAAAATTCAGAGGTGAAATCAATGAAAATTTTAGGAGAATGCATTTCTAAATTATAAATGGCATACCAAGTGATTTCCGAGGAATATTCCAAGCGAATTCTGAAGAAAACTATAGAGATAAATTAAACAAATTCTCGCGAGAACTATTAAGAATGTGAAGATAACTAATAAGTGTATTTAAGGAGCTTTTTTGAAGAAATTCCTAGATTATTTAGGGAAATCCTGAAAGAAAGTCATTCTTTTTGGAATGTTCATAAGCAAATCATTGACAAATTTGCAAAGATATTCAGAGATGAGTTCCTAGGAAACAATTTAGTAAATTCAAGCATTGACAAAAATTCAAGATTCCGTGCACAAAAATTCAAGATCCAGGATTAACACAAATTCTTAAGACACTAAGACTTCGATTAAGAACAAATTTCAAGATCCTGACCTTGGATAACTGTTTGAGATTATGGAGCTGGAAATTTAAAAAAAGTGTTACAGTAAGGCTTGTGAGAAAAATCCTCTATAGACGTACATCCAATCAGTACTGCGTGCGGTCAACAATTTCAATTGACGTAAGATATTGGTCTAGCACTGAATTGCACTTCCGACACTGATATTCGTAGTAAGCATTATATCAGGCGGTACGAATTTGACATCACTATCCATCAGTGGCGTTTCCTTACCCTCAATCTACCTGTGCACCAACTCTCAAAACATAAACAATTATCAAAAAATTAGGTACTTGCAATGGATAGATATCGAGTAAACTAGAAGATTAAGTGTCTTTTTCAATCGATTCGAATATGGCATTAAATCTGGTTCTGATGAATATGGCATTAAATCTGGTTCTTAAAGTTGGTGCACAGGTAACAAGTTAGGCTACGGGACGCCACTACTATCCATATGAATATCACTACCGAAAAGGTGAAAATCTTACTTTCATCTCAATAAATCATTTTTTTTTTTTGTTGAACCGTTCCATTGTTTTACTATTACTGATAAGTTTTCTAAAGATCGGTACTGGATTAACTGGCA